TTTTTGGAAGACCTGACAGGCCTGTTGAAGACCTTTGAAATCTTGCATTTTCAAAAGCTGACATTGATGGCAAATAACAACAACTGGATGGATGGCTTCTAGTGTTAGCAATTGAAAGACAATGGATGGATTTTCTAACTGTTCTTCCTTAAAGAAGTTTCTGGACAATAGGTTTACAAGCTAAAGGTGGACCATTAAAAGTGTTTTTAATGTGCCTGGAAATACCCTCAAATGGTATATTTGTTTCTGGTGTAAAGTCCTGTCATGGATTGTAATGATCTCAACATTTAAGGATGACAAATTCTCTTCTTTCTGAAATTCACAATTCTAGTGTACATGTAGATTACAGAAAAATGAAGGAAGCACACACTTCTACTAGTTGGAAGATAAAATGCAATGTTTACCCTATAGCTGTGTTTAGTGACAACACATAGCCACCATTGATATGTGTTCTGTAGCAGCAGTATAGGTCTTCTCTTCTCCACTCGGGAATTAAGCATCTAATCTGAACTTTTGTGTAATGAGCATAACACACATCACCAAGACAGATGCTTTGGGGTTACAGTCTGGTTTACAGAACATGATTTCACYGGTCTAAGTAAACATGGTGTGTTTCTACTGTGTACACACAAAAGGTCTCATTGCCTTATWRTGGCAGTTCYGGAGAGAAGAACATGGGTTCACCAATTTTCTTGGGAAATTCTTTTGCCTAGATGTGAAAAGCTTGGGATAACTTGCTGTTTGGCTTTTCTGTTCACAATTCAAAAGATGTGGAAATCATTCAGTCTATTGTCGAAGGCTTTCATGGCCGAAATCACTGGGTTGTTGTAYGTTTTTTCGGMCTWTATGACCATGGTCTAGAGGCATTCTCTCCTGACYTTTRGCCTMCATCTATGGCAAGCACCCTCAGAGGTAGTGAGGTCTGTTYGAACTAGGAAAAAGGGTTTATATATCTTTGYAATGGTGYGARAAAGGACTCTTGTCATTCAGTCCTCTATACGGCGATGGACTGCAGCTTAATAGCCAACTTAGGCTACTGGGKCTTACAATTCAACAACATATGGAAGTCTCAATGTTCCCAACTCATTGTAAACGTTACTGGGCTAGACAGGCAAATAGTTAGATCCAGATATAAGGTAGCTTAGCTTTCTAAGGCTTGGAAATAATTAAAACAGCACATAATCTTTTATAACCTCTTAATATTTTAATTTACTGTATATGCATTGGCTGGTGGTTTGAGAACAAAGAAAGCTACCAAGTGGTTTAAATTAAAAACATACAAGCTGCCAACGTATAAACAAGAATCCATTCAGTAAATGCTGTGGTTTAGGCTCTCTGCAGTTCTCCCACTTACTTTTTATTTAGTCTTGGTTGTTTTTCCTTGCTTCCCTTTGCTACCACCTACTGTAAATGGATGTATATTGCATCTTCCTTAACTACCGTACATACATTTCAATAAAAGAGTTGCTGTGTGGGCAACATTCTTTAAGAAACACATTGGTAGACTTAAGAGAAATCAGTCATATTTCTTTGTCCCAGATTAGCTATTTTTATCCTTTTGTATCAAAAGGCCTTGTACCAATTTAAAACACAATAATTTTACATGAAATGAAAACATATTAGACAATTCCATAAGTCTGGATAATTTAAACCAGTGAAAATGGGTTTAGTTTCAAGACAAACCTGTTTTATTTGTTGCCAGTAAACTGGGCCTCTATTGAGGAGTGTCTTCTACCCAGGGTGCCATAACAGAGAAGATCCTTTCCCCACATCCTCTCTAAACTTATTGCCCAGGCAAAGTTGAGTTCTCCTCCTACAGACCTCAAACATCAAGGTGGTACATACAAGGAGGTGCTCCTTCCAATACTAGATTACCACCATCTTGAATCCTGATGAGAATTGTATTGGCAGTGAATGTCAGAGATGCATCTAAGACAGTGGTGCCCAACCTTTTTTTTTTTTTTACTGGGAACCACTCCCCAACACTAGTACAAAAAGGGTTGTGAATCAGTTTTTGGTCAACTTTAGATTTGGTTTGGTTATTTTGGGTGCTGATTCAGAAAATTGCATTGGACAGACCACATCAGCTCTCATTTCTGATACAGAATATATGCCATCCAGTAGTACCATCTGCTTGCCCACAGAAAACCATATTTAGTAAGCCTCATAAGAGGGTTTCGTGAGACCAGTTGCTCTCATTGCAACAATGTAGTAATGGTGAGGCCATGGACCTTGATTCTTGTGGATCACTGGTGGTCCACGGACCAGAGGTTGGGAACCACTGATCTTGGAGGTATGTGGTTGTTTCGTTGGGAAAGAGCAACCCTATTCAGGGCAACTAATCTCTCACAGTGGCTTCAAGTAGACATTGAACAGAATGTGGGATAGAATGGAAACTGCAGCATCTCATGGTTTAATGGCCATGTAGCTGAAGAGGACCTCCCCACACACACCCAATGTTACTTTTGATAATAAGGTCTGCAGTTAGGAACAAAACAATTATAACACAGTAATTTCTATTCCCACCCTCTAGATTTGATCTAAGTTATCCATTATTTAGGGCTTCAAACATCACTGAGAGATCCCACAAAATCAACACTGGAATAGGCAATCAATCAGAGCAAATAAGGCTCTTTCAGTACTGTACTCTTGCTTGACACCAGACTAGAATAAGTCAAGATTGTGCTTCCTCCATGAATGACTAAAAACTCCCAACCATCACATGGTTAAGCACTTTGCTCCAAAAGGGACGATTAGTTAAAAGGCAGTAGTTCCTGCCATCTGTCTGTATCCAGTGAGGTTCTCTTCAGGAGATGCAGCAACTACAGTCTTTTTCAAAGCAATAGGTTTGGAATGACAGTGCAAGGCAACCATTCCATGGATCCATGCAATAAATCCACTCCTGCCAGATCTTATCATCTAAGATGTTCAAGGTCTGAGCTTACATGAGTGAGATGAACTAATTCAAGCATCTTGTTCAGAGTTACTGAAAAAATATTCCAAAAGCATAACCACTTGGATAACTAGATACTTCCCCAGGCTCTACAATAAAAGTGGTGTCAAGTTTCTGAGCAAACATGAGAATTTATCCTTGAAGTGTCTTGCAAATTTGTTTCCGCAGACATCCAAGTGTTTGATACTCATTCTCTCTGAGCCTGATTCCAACAGGATCCTCTCCATTTGGAACAGCTCTGACTAAAGGCACACTGGGAATGTGACAGTAGCAGCACAGTATGACCTTCTTTGCTAACTTCACTGCGGCATAATATGCACAATGGAGAGTCTCAAACCTTAAATGAAGAAAATTGCAAATGCTGGTAAATCCTTCAAACATAGGCTGAAATTATCTCCCATTTGCAATAGGTACAATTATTCTCAATAGGGAATAATTGCATCAACCATCCGGATAATTCTAAAAGAATGATGAGCTGCTCAGAAAAATGAAGTGGTACTACTAAGTAATGCAAGGCAACACAGTCTGGGCTGCCAAACTCCATAAAATTCAATGAACGACAGGGATTTTAGAACAAAAACATCTCCTGGAAGGACTGTGAGGATGCAAGACAAGCGACACGGACCTTAGGGAGAATATAAAAGCACAAAGAAAAAACAGTTAAAACTCTAGTTAATATAATACTGTCCTTCCTTCAAGTTCATTACAATAAAAAATTGCAACCGGAATTATGTATCTAAGGTCTGAATTCATATTAAGGGAGCTTCACACATTCAAAAGGTGGAATAATGTATAAATGGAACATTCCAGTATAGGTTATTATTAATGGTACACAAATGTATATTGTTCAAAATCCTCCCAACCAACATGCTGGCTATGACATTTTAGGGACTGGAGCCAAATATAATGGTTGCTTACCTGTAACTGTGTTTCTCCAAGTGGTCGCCTGGAAAATTTGCACAAAGATAAGTTTTCCACACATTAGCAAGGTCACAGCTTGAGGAAAAAAATTCAATAAGTGGCAGCAGAGTGTTTCTGACTATTCTTGTGGTTACTTTAATGTAGAAATTTTCTTTTCAGGGAGAAGTAACCCAGAAAAAGCAAGGCAAAAAACCACCATGGGAATATCAACAAACCACAATTCAAACACCTTTGATACCACTTGAATTCCTCTGATTCTATCCTATTGATTGAGGTTTTACAATGTACTTACCATTCCTTGTGACAGAAGATTTAAATAAAAAAAGATTTAAATTCAAAACTGAATAAAAAACACCCTGAAGCCACTTGACTTTGGGCTTTCTTGAGCACAGGTTGGAAGTGTTACTTTTTAGGATCATAACTTTTAAAACCCACGGACTAATGGCTATGTTGACTAGAGGATTTGGGGAGCTAGTAGTCCAAAAAGTAACTTTTGCAAATGTTGTACAAAGGCAACTAGTTACTCACTATGAGGAAGAGTGTTGGACTAGATAGATATTTCTGTCTGCCACAGCACAGCTTTCCTTAGGGTCTCAATCATGACATAATCCTCTCTCTCTCTCCCTCTATATATATATATATAGTGTCAGGAGCGACTTGAGAAACTGCAAGTCACTTCTGGTGTGAGAGAATTGGCTGCCTGCAAGGATGTTGCCAGGGGACGGCTGGATGTGTTACATCCTGTGAGAGGCTTCTCTCATGTCCCTGCATGAGAAGCTGGAACTGACAGATGGAGCTCAGCCCACTCTTGCTGGATGTTTGATGTTTTATCATCCTTATGGGAGGCTTCTCACATGTCACCACTTGGGGAGCTGGAGCTGACAGAGGGAGCTCAACCTGCTCTCACCATATTCGAATCACTGACCTGTTGCTTAGCAATCCTACTGGCACAAGGGTTTAACCCATTGCGCCACCGGGGACTCCTTTTAAATAGAATAAAAGTCAATAAACATCTTCATCACTCTTAGGACAGGACATTAGAGTAGGACATGTGTTGACCACTAACCAGCCCTTGGAGGCCATTAAACAATATTAAAAGAAAAGAGCACACATTCAAAAGCAGAGATGAAATGAAGTAGAAATATTTATTAAAACTAAAAGCACAAATCATGAACAAGGCTTGTTATTATAAAAAAGGCACACACAGAAGTGCATTCCCCTCAGTACGAGGCACTGGAATTTGCTGTCGTTTCTGCAATGCATTTACGCTGCTTGGCCACTGAAGTTCCCAGATCTCCTGCCTGGGCACTTGCCAAAAAAAGGTGCAATCCTTTCAGAACCATCACAGTATCCCAGCATCCTTTACCCAACCCAAGAGAATTACCATTGCTTTCCCCAAATGCTTTTCTTTTACAACCTGTTACTTCTCTTGCTAGGGCTGAAGGCATGATTTCCATTCTACTGTGCTTTCAATTTTAATAAAATCATGGGACAAAAAGCCAACCTCCACGTGGATTGGCCTATGCTTCTCACTGGCAGTAGTACTAGAGGCCTGCCAGAAGGAGGCGTAATACACACAAACTGAGTTTTACTTCATTGCTTTCAAGGCTTTTCAGCATTATTATTATTAGTACTGTGGGCCACATTAAGTGCTTCAATTCGAGTGGGAAAACCAATAAACCCACCCCTGGTTCTTGGGTTGATACCAGTAGAACGTTCTGCAGCTGTCTCTGGGTTTCCATGCCTCAGTTCAAGACACTTGGAACATCTTACCTGGAATTATTCTCTTGAAAGTTCCCTGATCCATAATGGGCATATCTCCGTCTCATCCCCCATTTCAGTGGTTCTCAACCTGTGGGTCCCCAGATGTGTTGGCATTCAACTCCCAGAAATCCTAACAGCTGGAAATTGGTTAAGATTTCTGGGAGTCAAATGCCAAAACATCTGAGGACTCACAGATTGAGAACCACTGTCCTATTTTATCTAGTACAGTAAGTGGCTGGATCACCCATCCTGCAAGTAACTGCTTGGAAGTTCCTTTTCTCTTGCAGACCGCTGTTCCAGCAGGAGAAAAGTAAGGTTACACGTACACACATATCTGAGTTTTAGACTCTTCTACCATGCAAGACCAAAAGTTGAGGCTCATCTCATCACCTCCTTCTAATGTACTGCTTGACAACACTTTTAGCTCAAGTGAGGGTTTTGTGTTCTGAGATTTTACTCCTCTCAGAATAAAAAATTGGATGTTATTACTCATGGGGCTGATCCCTTATGCTGGCAGCAAGAACCTTCCAGCTCACTGCTGTTTGGGCAAAACACATGCGACTATATCTCACATGTAATAAAAGTCACCTTTTAAAAAAGTCAACAATCTTTGATCATTCTGCCACAGGTAACCTTCTCTACAGAGGCAAGGTGAGAGAAAGAGATGAAACAAGTCACCTGAAAAACAATTACCGGACAGGCTTCAACTGCAAGGCTGAAAAATGAAGCAGCTTTTTGATGACTTTGTGAAAATTAAAACTACAAGGAAAGTCAGCAACCATCGTGGCTCTAAGAAGCCAGGGAAAATAATAGTTTGCTGCTCACCATTGAAATAGAGAGCATCCAGAGCAGGGCTGGGGAACTTATGGTCCTCTGAAATTTGACTTCAATTCCCCTTAGCCCTAACCAAACTAGTCTATGGTGAAGCACAATGGGGATGGGAGCTGAACATCTGAAGGGCCATCGGTTTTCCAAAAGGAAAGCCCTAGAACACATTACAGAGGAAAGAATATCAAGAAATACCAAAGAGCTAAGAGGAAAGTAGATCTTATGAGCATGACCAAGATCCTTTACTCTCTGCTAAATGAAAAAGGAAAGGAAAGCCCATCAAAGGTAAAGATGTAATGGCACCCAATCTACAGTAGTGGTTCCTGGACTATATATTCTTATAGCCATTAATGATTGTTTCAAGACAGCCTTAGTTAAAAATACTAAGTCTGTAAGATGGTGGACTGAAAACTTGAGTCAGTCAGCCAACCCCTCCTGGTGCAATTACTACAAAGCCTAGACTAAAAGGAAGATTGTTCTTAATTTTTATTTGCTCCAGATTTATGTTAAGGGATTCTCAAACCTGGAGAGGTTGGTAAAGTTGTGTAGGAGACACATTATATACCTTTATACATAACTCTCTGTTGTCTGATTGAGTTTGACCAAGAACTAATGCTGTATTTGACAGCCAGAGAAAGACCCAGTTAGAAAAAGGCTCCATTCCTATGTTTCCCCTCATCCAGAAAAAAAGAAAGAAAAATTCCAGTACAGTAACCCAAAACCAGATGCCACAAGGTGTGGCAAGGAGAGTCATTATTCTCAGAAACCCAAATGATTTATTTTCCTTATACATCTAGGTAAAATGGATAAAGGTAATCCATGAACCTACTGGTACTGTATATACGTTCTACAGACACCAACTTCTTGGGCGCCAAAGCTCCTCTTTTAACATACACAAACATACAGAGAAAACACACACACACCATTACAGCTGCCATTTTGTAAAGCAAGAGAAGCCCCTGTCAAGGGGGGGCATGCTTTGGTGAGTTCCAGTTAACTAAAATACATAGTACTTATTGAAACAGGAAGGCACCTAAGGGACAGCACCAATCATTACCTTGTCATAGGCTAGGTATAGAGCTTGGAAACATTATTTTTTTGTATCTATGCATATGGCTAGGGAATTCAGGGAGTTCTAGTCAAAATGAAACATTTTCAAGCTCTAGCTAGTTACAGCTCTTAATCAAGCTGGTAACATTTACGTTTCAACAACTAAAGCTACTTATCAGAACAGATAAGTCAAAAAGCGAGCCATTTCTTCCTCACACATTCACTAGCCTAGTTTCGTTCTCTCTCTTTTTCTACTTTTCTCAATCTCCACCCTTCAACATTTCCAAATATTTCTCTACCAGATGAACCTGAGGTCCACTTTCTACCAATAAATAGCATTTCAATATAGCAATCTTGACCAGCCACACTCCCATCTCATGGATGGGAAACTCAGCAGACTTTTGTCACCTGATCCTAACAGAACATCTACGGCACACACAGGCTAACTCTTTCCTCCCCCCCAAATCTTTTTTTCTGCATTCTCAATTGCTAAATTAGCTATTCTAACAGGACACAGTATGGCCTCTTTCCTCATACTTGGACATGTAGGGTCCACGCTCATGCCAACTCTTCCTTGGACACTTTCCTTACCTTCCAGAAGTACAGAATGGAGCCACATAAATAAATAAATTAATGTGAATTGACATTTGGACATCCGCCTTCCTCCTCCCCTCCCAAAAAGAGCTTTGTATAGGAGGTGACAGCATGGAGACAGGATTCCGTATCTTCTTCCTTGCTTCACAGGGGAAAAGTCAGACAGACTCTGAACACAAGGCATTTGCATCACTTCTTGGCTGACAGTATTTTCTGGGAGAGAGTCCCTTGCTGCTAAAAGAACTATCTAGCCACACTGCCTCTCTCCTGCTAAAGCAAACTAACTTTGCTCCCTACCCGAAGGGTTGCCTCATTTGCCTTGTTGGCCTTTTGCTCAGAAACATGGATAACTGAGTACACTGGCCTCCAAGCCAAATATGTCTCTAACAAAAAATAAAAATCCAATCCACCCTTCAGTCATGTACATATTCCACCAAGGATTAGGGAGGATCAGAGCCACTCCAAAAAGTGGGAACAGGAAAGCAAAAGCCCAAAAATAAATAAATATTTCATACAAGACTCTCCTTAAAGCTTTACCACAAGGACTTTTAAAGAACGAGATCGGCGCTAATATCCAGAAACAGCAATTAGATTTTTTTTAAAAAAAACAAGAAAAAAAGAAGACTTCATTTTTTTAGGATGTCTGATTTCTCAGTTCTTCTCATTAGCCTCAGCAGCTTGTTTTTAATTAAAGGTTCCCCTGGTGCCACACTACCGCTTCACATACTTGGCTTCCTTTCCTCACCATGGCCATTATTTCACTACAGTTACAAATCTCAGGTTCACATCTTCCCTGCAAAAGAACGTCTGTTTATCCCTGAACTTTTCGTCATGCTTCATCACCGACCAATCAAAAAGGCCAAGTGTGCAGGACGAGGGGGTGTCGCATTATTGCTGACTGTTATTAGAAGTACCATTCTTGTGTCTTTCCCCCATAGCTATCTGACAAATGGTCTGCCTCCCCATCTTGCTTCAAAGGACAGTTTTGAGCTGCCTCACATCCCAAAGGAAATTTTGCTGAAAGGGTGGCAAAATTGCTTTGCTTCTCCAAAAGAGAGCTTCTTTTCTAAGGCATAAAGGGAAACTGCTCACAGGAAGGAGAAAACCATCTGACAAAAAGTAACCGGCCCATCACTCAGTGGGATTTAAATTGAGAATTCAGGAGGAAAGAATGGTTCAGCCCAAATGGGTCAGTTGTTGGTGTGGCAACAGCACTGCTAGGACTATCCCTACAGAATCAAAACATGGCACCAGAGATTTAAGGCGAATCTACCCACTGACTCCTAGCCACTACCACTTAGGGGGCTGGGGACAATAGGCTCGAGGTAATGTCTGCCTGATGCTATCTAAAAAGTCACAGAATGAGGCCTGCAACGTTCAGAGCAGCAAGCAGCTTTCCAGCCACCTTCCTCAGTCATGGCGAGGTGACCCACATTGGGTGGCCATCTCCAAGAGTTGAATCCCACCCCTGCCCACTACTGCCCCTGTCCCAGCCTACCCTTTCCTCCCCTGGAACCCACAGGATGCTGGCCCTGGAGGCCACAGCTGGCCTTGAGGTTACATTCAGAGGTCAGCTCCCTGCCTTGGTGGAGTGGGATCAGTTGAGTGGCATTCCATCCCCAACCACCAGCAGATGTTCAGAAATCCAAGGAGGTGAAGTCTCCAAAGTCACAGTCAAAGAGTTCGCTGATGCCTTCCCCCTCCTCGAGCCCAAAGTGATAGTCCTGGGTCTGTGGGGGCGAAAGTGCGATGAATTCAGCAGGGAGGAAGCTTGAGAAGTCATCTTTGCCCTGCTGGAGCAAGGTGTCCACGGAGGCCAGGGGCGAGAGGCTCACGTCGTCTCCTGGGCACTTCAGAGGCAGCGTATTTTCACCAGACAACAAGGGCTCTGCCAAGAGAAAGACAAAGCAGGAAAATGGGTAAACTTGGATTAGATTGTTAACAAAATCAAGATACATAATTCAGGGTGCATCTACACTGTAGAATTAATGAAGTGTGACACCACTGCCATGGCTCAATGCTTTGGAATCATGGGAATTGTAGTTTCACAGGCTCTTTAACCTTATTTTCCAAAGACTGCCTCATCAAACTGCAAATCCTTGGATTGTACAGCATTACACCATGGCAATTAAAGTGGTGTCAAATTGCATTAATTCTACAGTGTAGATGCACCTTCTTCTATGGCTTTGGACTGGAGATCCAACAAGAAGTGGCAAGCACAGTTTGACAGAGAAGTTCTTGTTATGTGCTGCCAAACTGGCTTTGAGGTAAAAAAAAAGAAAAAGAAAACACTAACTCTTGCTTCATTTCAGATTGTGCCAGATTTAGCTAAAATGTCACTGTTGTTATCTCTGAGAGATCTTCTGCCAATGTCATCAACCCTTCCCGCCTCCTATAAAACCGGCTGCTGTCCAGTAACTCTTTGGTACATTTGGTCTGGTTCTTCAGCAAAGGCCTTCCTGTTCAGACAATGCTGTCTGAATTCAGGACAGTGTCTTGCCTCATCAAAGCAAGCAATCCCATTACCATGAGGTCAAAATGGGTGAGAGTGAAGGCTTAATGGCAAATGCATCTCTTGAATGCCAAATCCCAACAAAAACACTACATTCTCTTCCAGATCATACCTTGGTCTCCACTCAGCAGTGGCAAGTTCATTTCCTGGGAAGGGTGCAGAAGCGCAGATGTGGCTGCAGTGGTAACTACAGGCGCTGCTTGTGAAGGTTCTGGAGTATGTTGCCCAACAGCCACTTTCTGTGGACTCTTGGTGGGACTGCATACCTCAGAGCTTTCTTCCGGGCACAGGAACACATCAATGGGTCCCTGAGTGCTTTTCACAGCAATTTGGAAAGCCTGGAAGAAAAGAACAAAAGTGGGCATGGGAGGATGCTATCAGAAGACTGCAGATATGTTTGGCATGGTTGCTCTCTATTGCTTCCTTCTCCCCCAAAAAGAGATGGATGAGCGTTTTGTTTTAATATGAATGTATGAGACTAACATGAATTTGATCAGCCATCACCAAGATCTAGCATTGTGTGAGAAAAAAAAACATACCACAGAAGTCTGTGACTTGTTTCACTCATCTGGTTCCACTACTGCTAATAAACAAGATACCTCCTGTTTTTTTCTACAACTTTCTCTTTTCAAAAAGACCAAGATGCTGCAACTTCTTAAGCCTTTGAGAAGCAAAGGGGTTGAGGAAGCTGGATCTCTCTTTGCAACCTTCTCTTAAAAGTGCAAGTAGCTGTGGACTTTGCAAGCTCAAAATACCCTTTTTTTGGTCATCGGGCACATTCCAAAGTATTCTAGGCTCTTCAGACAAAGGGCTCTAAGTCTAACATGAAGGATGGTACAAATGGTGGACCTAGCTGGAAATTAGAGGGGAATTGAAAGTGGCTTAGAAAGATGCCACTATTTTCTATCCCTGACTGTAATCATGAGCCAATTAATAGTCAATCTCTTATTGCACTTACAGAGATGAATAATTCACACTTCAACCCTCCATTTTTTGTCTTGGTGTATTATTTTTTAGGCCTGTTCCTGGGGTCATTTGGGCCACTGACTCAGAAAATTGCATTGGATAGACCACATCAGCTTTAGTTTCTTAAAAGATGATTACCATGGTATTTTATGGGCTGGAAGATGAATTATTATTATTATTATTATTATTATTATTATTATTATTATTATTATCTTTATTTATACCCCACTTTTCTCCCTGTGGTGACTCAAAGTGGCAACATGCCACCCTAAACACATTTAAAAGGTGCAATACAAAAAGTTTAAAAACAATTAAATAATAATGTGGTAAAAACAGAATTTAAATACACTAAAATGGTCTTTAAAATTCATATTCTCCCCAATCTCACCCAACCTCCCCAAAGCCCGCAGATGAAGGCTGGCATATGGCATTATGTCCCGTATCTTAAAAACTAGAGCTAATAGGGGAAACCTGGAGTTGTTTTTGGAATCAGCAGGTCAAATACACCCAGAAACAGGACTAACATTTGAGACGCCAAAAGGTGTGTTGGCCAGTGTAATGTTAGCTGCCTGCTATAACAGTATGGCTCTTTCCTTGATTCTTCAATTATATTTTACAGGCTTAAACAAAGGAGGATAAGTTCTCTTATTCCATAAAGACCTGAACATTTCACCCCTTGGGAAGACTTGTGCATGGTAAGATTGTGGCTGGGATTTTGACTGTTAATAATAACAATAGTAAACATAATAATAACAATAATAGTAAATTTATTACCCGCCTCTCCATGCAACCCAAGGCGGAGAACAACATTGTTAAAACAAGAGATAAAACATTAATAAAACACATAAAGCAAAATACAGAGGTAAAAATACATTGATCAAATGCAGATTAAAATTCACAACTTAACATTGACTCATCACCCAGCATGCTATCCTGTTGAATCAACCAGCCTAGGATATGCCATTAACCACTTGAGTTGGGCTCTCCCCTTCATCTGCTAATATGTAACTGGCCTCTTCCTGTCTGAACAATTTAGGTTCAGTTAGTAAACTATTCCAGTCATTGTATTTGCTCTATATACAATTATCAGAATGAGACTGATTTAACTGAAAGTGAAATGTCCAGGATCAATTGTATATTTTGCATATGAATGGTCAAAGTGGATTTTTGGGGATGCGTAGATCTCTCCAGGTTCTATGATCCTCTCATGTTCTTAGCCATGCCATTGATTCAAAATGGGCTGCAATGCAGTCAGCTGTCTTTTACTGTGAGAAATACCATGGCTGGGTGGTCAAGCCGATCCACGTGAATTTGGTTTCTAAAGGACTGGTGCAGCAGTAAGGCCGGGGTAAATCTGGGAAACCAGGAAAACATACCTCTGCTGGATCAGAGACTTGCATCTGTGTCTCCGGAGGGGCTTTGATCACCATCACCAACTGCTCAGATGGATCTACAACGCTTCGTAAGTCTTGGCAAGTCACATAAGCTGAAGTGTGCTCAGTCAAGTTTTGTAAGAAGTTGAATCATAGTCCATAGCACCAAAAACTCACTGCTACAACATTATATGTACCACCACCACCACACTTAAATCAGAAAGTGCTGGGAAACAGTCATACTAATACCTAAGACTGCCTTCTGCAACACAAAATGTATGTATGTAATTGAACCAGTAAGCAGATACACTTCTGGTTGGAGTGAAAACTCCTCATAACATCCAAAACATTTTCCTTTCCTTTTGAAACATGGACTTTGTACATCCAAAAATGTGAATGCAATTTCCCTTGTTTTAAGATACCTACATGATTATTTACTTGTTTCAGCACTATAAAGGCACTATTGAGGTATGCCACACCTATTAATTTCTTGCCATAGGTGCATCCACACTGTTGAATTAAATTAGTTTGACATCACTTCAACTGTCAGAACTCAATGCCATAGCTGTTGTCATTTGGTTTGTCACCAGCACTATTTAGCAGAAATGGCTAACCATTTTGTATAACTACAAGTAATAATAATAATAATAATAATAATAATAATAATAATAATACTTTTAATTCTTGCCTGCCTCTCCTCATGGCTTGAGGTGGGTTACAGCATTACTAAAACATAAACAAACACATAATCATTTTAAAACACTCCATAAATCCCAGGATTCCATAGCATTGAGCCATGGCAGTTACAGCTGTAACTGTAAATATACATAGTTTTACACTCTTTTTAATTGTTGTTTTATTATTATTTCAAACATTTATTATTATGTCTTTTCAGTTCTAAATTTCAAATTATTTATTGAACTTGATTTAATTTTATGCTACATAGAACAGGGTGGGAGCAAAATAGATTAGTAAAACAAATAACCAATTTATCATTGAATATAATAAATAATAATGAATGGAGACAGCCACTGATCCAGCATATACACATGCTCCAACGCAGACCTAAAGCAGTGTTATCGAGCGCAGAGGGCGGCCTCTGAGGTTCATTATCAGGAACAGGTTCAGTTACAGAGCTGCCAGACAAAAATCAACAACAAACATCTGACTGACTCACCATCAGCTTTCGCGTACTATGGTTCTCTCACACACACCCTGCTCCTCCTCCACCAGGAATATTCAGTCTTAACTGGCAGTTAGGGAGGGATTTTCCTTCAGCTCACAGGGTGGGGAAGTATACATTAAAACACCAACACCCAGTTCTGGAATGCCAGGAGGGCAGCTACCTGTTTGGAAGCTGGAACTTGTGCTGCTCTCAGCTAACCCTGCAGAAAGGATGCTATGAACCTGTTTCACACCCTCATACTGGTTAAAACCACCCACTCCTCCGTCCATCTCTCTGCAAAGGATATTGCTTGTTCTCCAGGTCCTCCGTGAGAAGCTTGAACTGAGTCGTACACATCTGAATGAGAGTGTCCAGCTGCTGTTCTGCAGCCTGAAGATCCTGGAGCTCCTTCATCAACCCTTGACAATTGCTGGGGCCTCCCACTGTAGACCTGCTACCCCTAGGGAACAGAAGAAAACAAAGATGAAGAGATCATATTTCATGACCTGCATGCACTTGCTGACTCAAGCATCCAAGCACAAAGGAGGGCCAAAAAGCATTTTACTAGCATCCATTTTGTCGAAATTGATTCAGCACCTGAGTGCCTACCCAAATGGGTAAAAAACAGGTTCTACAAGCAAAACTTGCAACCAACCGCTACTGTGATTTACTGCTGTGATTCCAGCCACCCCATTTCCCACCCCCTGTACTTCCCCTACAATTCTGTGGCTATGAAATATGGTTTTCCCTTTAGGGTTTTCCTTCCCTCAAGGAAAGCTCTGCAAATCCTAGCATTCCCCAAGCCTGCTTCTTCCATGTGACTGCTGTTGGTTTAGATATCTACACAACAGAACCCAAAGCCTGAACAATGCAAAAAGATGTGTTGGTGGAGGGTTTTTTGTCCTTACAACAGAGCAGGTCCTTTAAAATGTAGCCATAAAGTAACTATGATAAAAAAGACATTTATCTCCTGATTGTGGACAGGTATGTTTGTAAATTTACATGACATAGAATCATAGAGCTTGAAGAAAGCCAAAACAATATTTCCAAATCCCCCTCTGCAGAATAAAATATGAACCAGCTAGAGCGCTAAGTTCTGCCAGGGAGGCCCTGCTCTTGATCCCACCCCCCTCACAAGTCTGACTGGTGAGGACAAGAGACAGGGCCTTCTCAGTGGTGGCATCTAAGCTATGGAACTCCCTCTCCAGTGACATCAGACTGACCGCCTTCCTCCTGATGTTCAGAAATAGCTAAAGACCTGGTTCTGGAACCAGGTGGTCAGGGAATAGTGTAATATGGAATATGCACTATGGATCTCAACTTAAATGCAGCACCATGAATAATGACATGAGACCAGGTATTATGATTTAATATGTATTAACTGTATTAATATGTTTTATTGGTTTTTATCGCTTACTATATTGTAGTTTGTCTATTTGTTTTGATAATGCAGCATTGAATTTTCCCTTGCCTGTAAACATCTCTGTGTTATTGTATGGACTTGCCCATGTTTCTATTACTGTCCACAGTCTTTTCATATATAACAAGCCATGATCCCTGCAGTCTTTATATTCCCATCTCTTAATCTAAGACTCACTGCAACCCTGGTGTATAGTCCTGGCTATGTTTTACTGGAAGTACACCCATACAAGAAAATCAGTAAAGCAGCCCTAAGTCCAATACAGACATCACTCTTCTCCTCTATCTGACCAACCATCTCCATACTAATGTTTTCATTTAATTTACATCCTGTTTTTCTTCTGACACAGGATTCAAGAGAGCTCACAAGAAGGTTAAAACAAAATACAACTACTGAATTTCAAAGACAATCTTTACAAATCTATTTACCAATGGTATCTCACTCTATGTAGATTGAATAAGATCTATCATTCTAAAATGGTCTGCTGGAGATATAAAATCACAAAAGCTAATTTTCGCAGGTAATTTTTTAAAACCTGGAACTTTGTGTTATCAATAATTCATTAGTTAACAGATATCGTTTGTTCCCTACTCTAAAAGCTCCCCTATTACGTAGATTGAATACAACTGTAGAGTTGACATACGAATGGTTAGATCTTCACTCATGATTATTAAATATATGTATCTCCCCAGTTTTGGCAAAAAAGAAGAAGATATAAATAAGCACATTTAAGGTTCACATTAACTTTTTATAGGCCAGAACTGAATTCTCAACAAAACAGATAATTTACTGATAGATGGGTCTTATTCAATTCATGGAATGGAAGAGTTAATGAAAATATATTTATTTTATTTGGTTTAATATTAATATTAAGAATGTAGTTTTTTGTATGTTTTACTGTCTTAGTTGCAATTTGTACTTAGATTTGAAATAATAAAGCGTTTGTAAAAAGCTATTATGTAAACCTAGCCCTCTTTCATTGTCGAATATATATAAATAAAGCTAAATAGTAACAAAAAATAGCTAAAAACTTGTGATACAAAGGTCATTTTAAGAGAGGAAACCCTCATCATATTAAAACAAACATTAATTTGATACATTGTACAAGCATTTAAAACACAACAATAAAACAAAAACTCATCAAATGCCTGATCACTGGTCCTTGGTATCCACTGGGCTTTGATTCCAGGACCTCCCATTAATATCAAAATCCTTGGATACTTAAGTCATGTTATTTCCAATGCTATAGTAAAATAATGTTCCTTACAGAAAACTGAACAACCAGTATTTGCTTTTTGGATTTTTGTTGTCTGGAATATTTTCAAGCTGTGGATGGTTGCGTCTGTAAGAGGGAATCTATGTCTTCACTAAGTGTACTGGTGACAATGGTAATCTAAACAGATCCTAAGACTCAGACAGGGAGATACAGTATTTCAGATCGTCTGTGTATAAACCATGCAGGCTAATTTATTCATTCAATTGGAAAAAAGGAAGTTTTATTTCTGTTGATCAATCCCATTATACAACAGGAACACCACATGGGTATTTCTCCCCTGGTTAAGGGATGGCCAAGGGTGTGCCTTGCAAGTAATGGACAGAATTTCTCCATCTCTGCCCTCAAGGCATAAATCAACTATACGGGTCTACTTACAACCACTGAATATGGTTCTTGGATTTCTTGGTGATCAGCTGGATTCCCTCCAGAACGTTTGTGATGTCATAGATCCGCCTCTTCTGCACCTTCAGTACATCTGCGGCCCAGTTGAGATCCACAACACCATCAGGAGATTGGCTCAGCAGCTCCAGAAAACGCTTGGTGGTCAGATTCAAAGAGGTTTCATAACGGGATTTCTCTCCAGGAGACTTCACCCCTTGAGATTAAGGAGGACTTGATTACACCTCATGATATGTCTGAATGATGTCATGATATGTCATGATAATTTAAGCACCTACCCTGCTGAATTATAAACCTTGTCTGGCTATGTCATGAGACCAAGCTGCTTTGCTACAGAGTGTTGTGTCTTAGAGCATAAATACTACTTTTAGTGAGTATATGAAAGCTTCATAAAGATGCAAGAAAAGCAATGGATTAATAGGCGAGGAAATAGGGTTGAAGTTGTTAGAAAACGTATGGGAAGGAGACCTAGGGCCTCTGACGGATCCCAATTGGAAAAGTGGAGAGTGGTTAAGAATCTGTCAATAAATTAAAAGAAGACGCATTTAAAGTCATATGGAGATGGTATACCACACAGGTTAAATTACACCATATATTGATAGGAAGCAAAGTAACCTCTGCTGGAGATGTGGCATGCACAAGGGCACATATTTTCATTTATGGTGGGAATGCCCCCAGCTGAATGTTTGGAACAATATATTTATGGAAATAGGCAACATTATAGGATTAAATATTGCCCCAGATGCTAGGTCAGCATTACTAAGGGATGCCACAAAGCTGAACTTAGAAAGAGAAAAAAACAACTGGTGATTATTTTACTCACAGTGGCCAGACTTATCATTGCAAGGAATTAGAAGATAGTGACCAATCACATGCTGGAAGCATGGCATGGGGAGATATGGAATGTAACCTTAAATGATAAACTATCAGTGGAAATGAGGGTGTTCAGGGGGGAAATTAAAAGATCAGAAATTGATTCATATTGATCAGTTTTCATTAAACATACTGTAGAGACCTTGTTTGTCATGAATATTGGATATGACATTTGTTTACCGGTTGACTCATAAATTTATAGCAAAGGAAATGCTACTTGTTCAAGCCTTGGTTGTGGGGTTATATGTTTGTAAAATGTTCATTGTTTTGTGTTCTGTTTACACTGTAAGCTGTTGACGTATGTAAATAAAAATTATAAAATAAATAAATAAAAAAGATGCAAGAAAGAAAAGTTTTCAACCAACTCCCCATTCTCTCATGACCGCAGAGGGTCTGGTGGTAACAGGCACTGACTTTCATGCTAAGTAAACCTCAGCACTTTGGTGCTGAAATTATGGAAAGGAGCATCCAAGCTGGAGATAAAGGACATGGATAAGAGTGCACAGAGAGCTCACCCACCCAAAAAGTGCCTTTGAAGGATAACCAGACCTTTGACACTATTGTAATTGCACATATCTCTGCCTCTTACATTTCTTAAGAGAAGCAGAGTATAATAGATCAGGATGGGAATTGTGTGGTCTTCCAGATGTTGCTGAACAATATGGTGAACAGTGTGGGATCCTGGGATCTGCTCTCCAGAGACAATTGGAAGATGACATATTGGATGAAGTGATAAAAGTGTTATGGTGCTCCTTGCTTCTATATTTCCAACTGCTATTGCCAATACACTTTCAGGTCACATCAGTACACACTTTGAGGGATAGAAACTTGCTATTCTTGGCAAGCAATCTCAGATTTCAATGTGAGAAATTCTGGGTTCAAAACATTCGCCATTATTTTTAAAAACCCTCAATATTTTTTAAAACCATATATTCTTTTTACCAAGCATCCAAAATAAGACACATAGCAATGCAATCACAGAATTACACAAATAGCACGTCCCAGCTTCTTAAGCCCCTGATCATTTCTTAATTTTGGTCAAACATAGGGAATTGTTGGGTCTCCATATAGTTTGGATTGCAACTCCCACAATCCCTTACTGCTGGCCATGCTTTAAGTGAAAATATTCCAAGGGTGAAAGGTTAGCCAGCATCAGATTTAGGTAGACAACGTTAACACATGGTGTGGTGAATGGCAAAGGGTAACTCAATGTTCTCACTGGATGATACAGAACAGCAGGTGTTGTTAGGGATGCTAAGCCTGCTGTTCCTTCACTGCTTTCTTAATCATGCAGACACTTATCTTAACAGCACTGAAATACAAATCACGGTGCTCTTTGTGACACTGCATTCCCTGTCCCAGTTCTGTGGGGGTGCCGTGGAAGTAACACTCTGAGAAAGCTCTTTTTTTTGATAAGCTGGCTGGGGGATTCTGGGATTCTGGGATCTAGAATTTTTAAAAAGTACTACTTCCAAGTTTTGGAATCCTAGTAGTTCTCAGAAAACTGACCACTAGCCATAAATATTGCCACAACATGGATGAGAAGGCAGAACTGCATGCTCTTGATCTCCCCTATGCACACAGCATGCTGCAGATCACTTGGAAGACAATTTCCTTAAAGAAAATTTCATCCCTCAGTTTAAAAGAAAGTAGAAAGGAGCCCATCCAAAGATCCCAAACGTTCCTTAATAGTCTCTGCTTCTACACCTCCACACGCTGCCCCTTTGGCAGAAAAGTGTTACCTGTTTAGTCCATCGAGGGGGAGCCAAGGAACCTATGTAGAAATGGAGGAGAAATTTAATGCACAAGGGCTTTCTTCTGCCTACCTTTGACAGCATTTCTTGCTTTTCCTCGGTTTCCCTGAAAGCTCTCTGCAATGTACTGGTGGTCGGTCTCCAAATTCAGCTTCCGTTTTACCTGAAAGGGAAAAAGAAGCCCTTTTTTTTAAAAAAACACCGAACAACAGAGGTTCTTCAACTTTACAGTTATACTGACAGCTAAAAATGAGGGAAAGAATTGTAACGCCAATTTACATAAGGAGCTATTAATGTAGTACTCTCTCTAGTGGGTGTGTGCTCTTAAGTCAGTTGAAACTTATGGCAACCTTAAAGCTAAACCACAGGATTTTCTTGAAAAAATTTGTTCAAGAGGCAGTACCTTTACCTTTCTCTGATTTGCTCAATGGGATTCCATGGCCAAGCAGGGATTTGAACCCTAGTCTCCAGAATTGTAGTCCACCATTCAAGTCACTATACCACACTGGTGCCTATCTCATAGGTGGGTACAATGCAGTCCACAGGAAGCATAATAGCCTCTCAAAGCCTTTTCTTTTCTTGTATCCACAATCCCCTGAAAGCCTCCAAGTAAATTTTCCCCAGCCAATTAATTGGAAGCCTTCAGAAACTTTGAGTAGACTGTCCTTCAAAACATCCTCAAATCATTTTGGCAACATTTTTGGCTCATTTTCAGCTGCTATTCAGATCTAACTTCTCTGACTGTCCAGTTCTGTCTTCTCTAAAACAACTTGAAAATACAACACAAAAAATATAGGGGTAGCATAGTGGCAGCAATGAAAAGTATTTGGAAATGCCACTTCTCCCGCAACTTCCAGAATCTCACAGCTGACGTTGCTACTGGACAAGAATCCCCACTTTGCTATGAATAATAATAATAAAGTTTATTTATATCCCGTTCCCTCTCCCCAGGGGACTTGGGGCAGCTTACAACATAAATAATACAGTAAGTGCAATACTATAAAATACATAAAATGGAATAATTAATAACACATCCAAACACAAAATACAGCAGTCAAGTAACAAAAATTAACAATAAAATTATGAACATTAGATTAAAAACACAGTCGTTCCTATGAGATAAAGGGGGCTTGTTACAGTAAATTCATGTTCTAGAGGTTGACTAATTACTGTCAAAGGTCTGCTTAAATAACCATTTATTGAAATCCCTCTTGAATGCCATGAGGGTGGATGCCTGTCTAACCTCTTTGGGGAGGATGTTCTAGAGTCAGGGGGCGACCACTGAGAAGGCCCTCTCCTTCGGCCCTGCCAGCCTTGCTTGCGAAGGAGGTGGGACCGAGAGGAGAGCCTCCACAGTCGATCGTAGGGCCTGAACAGGTTTATACGGGGGAATGCGGTTGTGTAAATAAGCAGGACCTGAGCCATACAGAGTTTTATAGGAAATAATAACCTGCATTTTGAATTGGGCCCGGAAGCAAATAGGCAACCAGTGAAGCTGCTTCAGGAGGGGGATTGAATGATCTCTATAATCTGCCCCCATCAGCAGCCTGGCTGATGATCTTAGTACTAGTTGAAGCTTCTGAACTATCTTCAGAGGCAGCCCTACGTAGATTGCATTGGAATAATCCATACGAGATATAACTAAGGTATGGACCACCGTGGTCAGATGAAGCTTACTGGGTGATCCTGGACTGGTAGCATTTACTACTTTAGTAAGCATAATGATGAGAACATAAGCAGTATGAAAACCTATGTTTGCCATGAATGTCCTGAGAGAAGCACAGGATATTACAGGAACAGAATTTGGGTAGGGAGATTTGCAGGCCATCCAGTGCAGTCACATATACTATATATAGTCCACTAAGGTCACTTCCTATTTTCTGTTTTCAATCCCAATGCTTCTTGGGATCCCCTCCTCCATTCCTTAGAAGTGCAGATTTAAGATTTCCAGACATTTGAAACTATGAGAAAACCCAATTCTTCTTCATTTTATTAAGAAATCTGCAGAAAATTTATGTATGTGTGTGGGAGGGAGGAAGCTATAAGTGCCCTTTTCAAACTGAAAGTCAGTTATTGTGGGAACATAAAATATTTAACCTTTAATTTGGTTCGGCATAAAATTATATTTGAAATATTAAAAATACACTTTATTTGGAAATTTGTTACAAATGGATTTTTAAATGGTTTTTTTGTTACAAAGTGAACTGTAATAAAGAACATCTTTGCTTTTGTTAATTTATGACAAATATTTAAAAAGGCCTTTTTTAGAAGAAAGGAAACTATCACATTTGCAAAAGAAAGGAATCTTTGTCTCTTCACAGTTTCACAGGCACAGACATTGATTCCCATCAAAGAGCTATAAAAAGAATTGAATTATTTCGATACTAGAATATTCTTACCTAAAGATGTTCCTGTTTGTATTAAGTAATGTTTAAATAAATAATTGGGGGGAGGATGTACAAAAACCTTGTTTTAAGTATTTATAACCCTAAAAGAAAATATTGTGTATTCAAAGTATTTGTCTTTAAAAAAAAAGGGGGGGGGAGGAGGTTTTCAATATGTTTTCCCTCATTTTTTGTTCTCAGTGCTGCATTTTAGGCACTGGATACACAATCTGGACTTTTGGAAAATGGAAATCTCCATAACCTTTTTAGAGATTTTATAATCTTTGGAAAGGTATGACCTTGTTAGATGTCATAACCTTTTGAAAAAAATGATGCCAAAACCTCTGGGTAAAAAACATGACCTTTTAGAGCAGTGTTTCTCAACCTGGGGGGGGGGATTGTGAGGGGGTGTCAAATGGGCTGCCAAAGACCATCAGAAAACACAGTATTTTCTGTTGGTCATGGGGGTTTCTGTGTGGGAAGCTTGGCCCCATTCTATCAGTGGGGTTCACCTCTTTGATTGTAGGTGAACTATAAATCACATCAACTACAACTCCCAAATGTCAAGGTTATTTTCCCCAAACTCCACCTGTGTTCACATTTGYGCATATTGAGTATTCGTGTCAAGTTTGGTTCAGATTCATTATTGTTTGAGTCAACAGTGCTCTCTGGATGTAAGTGAACTACAACTTCAAAGCTCAAGGTCAATGCCCACCAAATCCTTCCAGTATTTTCTGTTGGTTATGGGAGTTCTGTGTGCCAAATTTGGTTCAATTCCATTGTTGGTGGAGTTCGGAATGCTCTTTCGATTGTAGAACTATAAATCCCAGCAACTACAACTCCCAAATGACAAAATCAATCCRCCAACACCACCAGTATTCAAATTTGGTATTTGTGCCAAATTTGATCCAGTGAATGAAAACTTGTCCTGCATATCAGATATTTACATTACGATTCATAACAGTAGCAAAATTACAGTTATTTAGTAGCAACAAAAATAATGTTATGGTTGAGMGTCACCACAACATGAGGAATTGTATTAAGGGGTCGRGGCATTAGGAAGGTTGTGAAACACTGTGTTAGAGTCATGACCTATTGGGAAAATGGAATTCACCAACATTCATGCAAGGCAATCAAGTTTCTCAGCTGTTAAATTAATATCCTAAATATTTCTTTGAACTATGAGGGGCAAAGATATGCCAATGCACAAAAATCACATATATTTAGCAGAGTTTCAGAAGTGTTCCTTTTTAGTTGCCCCAACATAGCTACTCTGTTAAAACATATTTGCCTTTAAATAATGCTCTCAAGAGACAAAATAAGCAGACGTCTTCAAAAGGAACATAGTTGGTTTACCCACAAACTTCATATATTCAGAATACAGATACTTTGCATATGAATCCAGTTAAAATATGAAGTAGTTTCTCTGTGTAGGTAACACAGGGCATCCTTCTCCAAATAGCCCATAGTCCAAAGCATCTCTGTTCTGAGAGTCTAATAGTCTCTGTGGTCTCTACGCATACACTGAAGTCTAAAGTGTGATGTTCCTACGGTCTTCTAAAGGTACTCTGATTCTACAGTCTTCTAAACTGAACCGTTTTGTAAAAATGGAGTCTGTCCTGAATATGCCCAGTTCTGATCACATGGTCTGCAGTCCCTCCAACAACAAAGAGGTTAAAGAAAACTGCAAACCAATAAACAGATATACAATACAACAAGCAATTATATACATAACACATAACCAGTGGAGGCTTGAGAAGATTGCTATTTCCAACATGGACTGTCTTCTGAGGAAGCAGGGAACAAATCTTTGCTCTTTCTGCGAGAGTTCTTCATGTATCTAAAAAGTGCTATTTTTAAATGTGTGTGTTTATACTTTTAGCCAGTCCAGTAAACAAAATTCTCAGGGTAGTTTACAAGGGTGTAAAATGTAAGCTATAACATAACATAACAAAACAAAAGAAAACAGCACAAGAAACACAAAATAAATTCACAAACAAGGCAGCATGTAACATAATAAAACTACCAGCAACAAATAAAATATTTTCAAAATTAAGCAATGTAGAAGACTAAAAACAGAAATAATTAATGCAACGCCTGGGGGAACTGGTGCTGAAAATACCTGGATGTATTTTCTATCTTGGAAAAGTACAACTAAGGTACCATCACTGAAAAGGTCTTTTCACTGCCACTCAAAACTTTTTTTTTTCTTTGGAGAAGGTTTGCAGATGACTTTTAGCAGGTAAACATAGGAGGACTTAGTCCCAAACCACTGAATACTTTCAAGATTAAAACCAGAACTCTGACCTGGACCCAGAATAAGCCAGTACAGATGCCAAAGCACTAACATAATATGACACTGTCAGCCAAGCCCCAGTTAATAGTTTTGGGCCTCTAACAACAATGAATCATCCAAGAGCACCTATAAATTATCTAGTAGGATGAGTGCAACCAGTTCCAGAACAAGATGAACATCACTTACCTAGATAGGTGAACCACCTATCTTGTCTGGACAAAGTCTGAGCTTCTAGGCCCTCGACCAGTCCATTGCCCTGAATTGGTTCAGAGTGCCAACAGCCTATTACATTGTGTTGCCAAAGGCTTTCATGGCTGGAATCACTGGGTTGCTGTGACTTTTCCAGGCTGTATGGCAATGTTCCAGAAGCATTCTCTCCTGACGTTTCAGCCACATCTATGGCAGACATCCTCAGAGGTTGAGGGGTCTGTTGGAAACTAGGCAAGTGGGGTGTATATATCTGTGGAAATGTCCAGGGTGGGA